TACAAATATGAGCAACTTTATCTTGCTTAATTTTTGGCCATATAGCCCGGCCCTAGCATCAATGCTTCCTAACAATAAGTCTGATAACATTAAAATCCTAAAAATAACATTATAAATTGGCAGGAGGTGATGTGCTTGTCATAATTCACCGCCCTGTAATTGTACATATGTTAATTAGTCATTGTTGCAGATGATTCATGTGTGTCCCCCTTGTGTCAGCATGTCTCGAAGGTGAGGGGAGGTGTGTATGTTGTTTTCAAGAACACGTCTGCTGAGATGTTTGGTTGTTTGTTGCCTTTTCATGCAGAGACAGCTCTGCTGTTTGGATTTCATTTTCTGCTCGACATAACTTGCTTTTACCACAGGAGGGGCATATGGGTTAAAAATATCCATCTTCGCTGGAGGGCGACGTATGTTTTAATGGGTTTGTGCACGCACATGCCTGCTCTACCCTACAACAAACTCATGGAGAAACTCATCCAATAAGCCTCGTCTCCATTGATGATACTGCTGGATATATATAGTCAGATAATCTTTTATGAAGCGCTGCAGATATGACGTAGGAAGGACGAGGGAGAGACAGAGGCAGCGTTAGGTGGACTGGGAAGTGCTTTCATGAGCGGCAGAAGTAAACACTGTGGTTAAAAAATGACAGAGATAAGACCTGGGCACTCGGCGTCTCCTCCACTGCTGAATCAGCAGTGTTGTTATGTTAATACAGAGCTGCTGAAGTGAAGCTGGAGGATGTTTTTGGCTCTGCTGTGTGAGAGTGAGGTCATCAAGGTCCAGAAGAGCCTGCTGGTGTTAATCCTCTTTTGGGAGTTATGATGCATTCGTGCAGTTTAGACGACTACTCCAATGTATGAGCATTAGTAAACAGGCTACAGACTCCACAACGGATTCCTGTGGACTTTTCCCAATGAATCAGGGAGTGCCTGGATTTGACTGTAAGACCATGTAGGAAAAACAAACAAAACAAGTCTGATCCAATTCTCTTATTTTAGTAATTTAATTTGAGAAAACAATACAGGACTTAGATCCATTAATGAACTCTACAAAATAATATATCTGACAGAGATTTGGATTTTATGTGTTATCCAAAAACAACTCTTTCATAATATTCAATGATGCACAGACACACTGTTCCTTCAATGGTCTGTGGCTAAGGTCAGGTTGGAAATGGATTCAGAGATGCTTTCAGGGCGACCGCAGTAAATCAATCTAGCTACTTCATTCTTTTCCCATGTTGGTTCATGTTTCAGCACCAGGCTCTCAGACCATCTGTCTGTATTGATTAGTTCAGAGGTGGGTTTGGCATAGGTTTACACAGTGAGCTTGACTCAAATAAACCTTTGCAGCCTGAGTGTCCCCCAGTTCACACAAGAGAGACAGTGTCATGGAATCCCTCATTATAGTGTTTCATTCAAAGCTTGGTCGCTTTTTTAAAATCCACATCCAGCATGTGTTGTTATTTAGTAGAATTATATAAAATGAAGTAAATATTTGCACCATGATGACTTTAGCTCTTGCCCATTTTGTGCGTTCATGATGTTGCTGGGCAGACCTGTGTGCGTTAGCTGAGTGTACAGACAGTTTAGCCTGGCACGTGTTAGCGTGTATGTTGGCATGTGTTTGTCTGTGTTTACTTAGAGGGTTTAATAGGAGCCACCATGTGGCCAGAGGACTGATATGTTGGCCCTTTCGTTCATTTCTGATGATTTTCAGCCAGGTAGGCGGGGCCCTGCAAAAAACCATGAATCAGCACAGCTGATCGCCACTGTGCTTTTGCCAGCTCTTCTCCCTCTCCCACACACACACAAACACACATGCAGAGATGCATGCACACCCATGGGGGCAGACTAAGAGACAGAGAAGCCAAGTGGGGGGAGACAGTGAGATAGATTCTGCAGGCAGGTAGATAGATGGAGATAATCTTACTTGGTCACTTGGGGGCTGATTAACTCTAAACTCCTTCTAATTCCTTAAGCCTTCTCTCAGTGCCCAGGAAACATGCTTTCTTATGTCCGAGTGTTCCTACAAGGTAAAGTTATTATGGAAATTACAGTCAGTGGCTGATATTGATCATGAACAAGCTGTGAATTTATTCAAAACAAATTGCACATTCCTCTTCTTTCTTAAAAACAAGACTATAATTTCAGTACTGTGTGCGTTTGTGGCTGTGCATACATGTATGCTCATGTGCATATGCGTGTTGTGTGCAGTGCACTGTAAACAGAAATAGATGTGAGCTTGTCTGTAAAGGCTAACTAATGAGTCCCTGCATCCTGAGCACATGCAGCTATTTATATACTGAACCTCCTCCTCCTCTGCTGCAAGCTCTTCCCCATTCAGTTCTCTCATCTCATCACACACACATTCAAACAGCAGCAAATAATATAAACCATTAGAGTGTCTAGACAAATTCCTTAAAATGAACATGTTTTTAAATCTGATGACTTGGGTTAGCAGCGAATTAGAGTGGGTGTTACTAGCGAAGAAATTGGACTATCATCAATTCAAACCTTTTTAGCTCACACCGTAAATTTAAGCATATAAAATATTTAATTTCCCCCAAAACAGTCAATTTAAATTTCTCATTCCCTTAAGTAAAATTTCCTGAGTCAAATCAAAGCTCTTCAGATTTCAAATGAGCTTCCTGTGGGAAAATTAAATTTAATCAAAGGTCACATTAACTTTAAATCAGATCCTGGTTTAGCTCTGGTGTTTGCACCTGATCCAGCAGTTCTTTGCATTTTCTCAATCTAGCTGGAGGGTGGCCTACTTCATCTATAATTCAGCTCATTACCGACACTAATTATGTAGTATTGAGGGCAGTTTTTTTTTCTTTACATGTATCGCAATATTTCATCTAATTTCCTCCACATCAAAAAAAGAAATACGTTTCATATTATGAGAGATTGATGCTATATTGAGAGATCCCGTGGTGTGGCTGCTGCCGTCTCAATCAGTCACGATGCAGGTTAGTCCTGCTCAGCTGGCTGATGGCAGAGATGTTAGATAGGAAACACAAAATGGAGGAGGCAGCAGACACAAGCTCAGCTGGTCCATTAGGACCAAGTCTGTTTCCTGACAATCAGAATTGAGATGACAGAGCATTAAAAGACCCAGAGGAGCCCGTGAGCAGTGATGCATACTGGTGTGGGTGTGTGCACATATGTGTGTGTGTGTTGTGACCTAGGGAATAGGCCTATGGGGGGTCTTGTGGGGGGAAGGGATGGCAGGATTAGTAATAGTGTGCAGCACAGTTATTGGTCACTGGACACAAACAATGGGAGGGCTAAAGAGGATTTGTTCTGTGTGCGTACCCCCTCCTCCTCTCCTGCTGTCCTGCAGTGCCACTTGGAAGTGTATGGTATAGAGGGCGAGGCTGCACTACCCTTTTGGGGCGGCCTGTACATCTGGAAGACTGGCCTGCCCGCCTGTCTAGGACGTCCCCTCCCCCCACCACCATACAAGGCAGGGTGGGACTTGAACTACATATGGAAGAGACAAACACAGCAACATTAGTCACAAGGCCCCGTCCAGACAGGATGCGTGCATGTCTCATTAAAGTTAAGAATTGATCGTGATGTGAGCCACTGTAAGTGATCTCACTTAGGTGTGTGTGTGTGATTGCATAATACCTCCAGTGTATTTGTGTGATTTAATCAGCTGGTTAGAAGTTTCTATATATACCTAATTGGTCCTTGTGCTGTCACATTGACACAAAGTCATGTTCATTAAACTCAGTCCTTGAACTCTGATTAACATCACTGGCAATTAAGTCATTTAGAAAGGGATGGTTGCAGCAGGCTAATAAATTGATCCCAAGTATATGTAATACAAACCCATAAATACTGTAATTTGAGGCTGATACTGATGTCGTAGTATGACATTTTTTAACATTTAAATTTGTTTTTAAATCCAACATGAACAATTTGAATTTCGATTCTTTAAATTATTGTTACTGGTGTAATGTGCTACATACTAATTATTGATATGTTTGATAAATGACATATTAGATTATAGATAATTCATCAGCCATGTTCTTATATATAATAATATATATAATATAGCCACACATCTATGCAAAAATCATTCATGTTCTATATTGCAATAAAGCAGATCCACCTCTCTGTAAACACTGTAAAAAGAAATCTCTAAGAGATTTAAATCATGCCAGTGTTTAATATCATCCCATCACCAATTTCTGTGTATGTAGATGCCTGAGTTGACCTGTGCAGGGTGGGCGTGTGTTGAGGAGCCAGGCATGCCTGGCCTGGATGATCCCGCCGATGCTAATGGGGAGCTCTGAAACAAAATGCCTCCTTTGTGTCAGTGAGATTTAATGAGTCTGTGATTGGCAGTGTTGTGAGCTCACCCTCGGAACTCAATGTAGACACAGACACTCCTTAACAAGGAGGGCCATTGTGTGATGAAGGTGTGTGTGTGTGTGTGTGTGTGTGTGTGTGTGCGTGTGCGTGTGTGTGCGTGTGTGCGCGTGCATGTTTGCGTGTGTGTTTCAGTTAAAATATAATCTGTGGGTAGCAGTCGGCTTCATGTTTAATGGAATGAATCTCTGCTGAGAACAGGCAGTCAACAATACATTTAAGCAGAAATGTAAATTACTTATTGTTTAAATTGTGCATGGTAAATTTCCCTTTAAGAGCTGTAGCTAAAATTATAACGTATTAAGTGAGTGTGATGAATGCATGCATACAGATTAGCCTATTAGCATGACCTTTTTTGTGTATCATTACATGTAGAAAAATGATCTAAACAAATTTTATGAGTTCTTTTAACATTTCAGATTAAAAATAAAAAAACATAAAATGACATGTTGGATTATTATTTGTTGTTTCCAATTTATTTTCAATATTAATCTTAATCGATGGATTAATAGTTTGATCTGTTAAGTTGGGAAAAAAGTCCCTAAATTAGCTAAATGCTTGTTTTGTTCAGTCACAAAATTAAAGATGTTCATATAGTGATCATAATTATTGTAAGCATCACATACTGTAACCGTATAGTTCAGTCCCTGCGTTGCACTTGCCATTCACAGCAAAGGGAAATGTAATGTTGACTATAGGCTAATAGTCCACTGCTCCTAATCTTGTTTGATGTGTTCCAAGTATAGCTGCGCTGTGCAGTGTCACACTGTCCAGCACCGTGACCTTTCTCCAGCCCTGACTCCCTTCTGTTCTCCTTCGCAGTGGCTACCATGACAACAGAGGCAAGTGCGGTGAGTGAGGCGGACACTGAGGGCAAGCAGAAGGCCAGCGGCGCCGAGCCCGAATTAGAGAACAAACAGAAGCCGGAGGCGGCGGCGGCGGCGTCTGAGCCGGAGGGGGAGCAGTCGAGCAGCCAGAAGGCCCAGGAACAGGCCTCCCAGCCTGGGCCCGCTGACGTCGCTACCTCACCTGAGGAGGAGCAGCTGAAGCCTCGTACCCGGACCTCCGCTGGCAAAGGCCTTTCTCGCCTCTTCTCATCTTTCCTCAAACGCCGTTCACAGTGCTCTGAGGGTGAGGGGTTTGAGGAAGAGAAAGCCAGGGAGGAAAAGGCAGATAAGGAGGAAAAAGCTGACAAGACAGAAGAAGAGAAGGTGGAAGAGGTGAAAAGTGAGGACAAGGAAGCTCAAGTAGAAGGTGAGAAATCTGAGGTCAAAGTAGAGAAAAAGATAGAAGAAGAACAAAAAGAACAAAAAGAGGAAAAAAAGAAGGAGACAGAAAAAGTTGAGAAGAAGGGCAGTAAAAAGAAAAAGAAAGAGGCCAAGAAGAAAGCTGAGGAGAAGGAAGAGGAGAAAGCGAAAAAGGATGAGGTGAAAAATGAAGAGGAAACTGTGAAAAATAAAGAAGAGCCGACAGAGGAGGAGAAAGAATTGCATTCTGCTGAAAAGAAGGAGGAACAATCAGAGACTAAAGATGAAGAAAATAAGCCGACTGCTGAAGTAAAAGACAAGAAGGCAGAGGGCGAAAAGAAAGAAGAGGAAAAGGTTGACAACAAGGTGACAAAGAAAAAAGAAGAAAAGGTAAAGAAGAAGGAAGAGGAAAAAGCCAAGAGGAAAGCAGAAGAGGAAGAAAGAGTGAAGAAGAGAGAGGAAGAGAAAGCAAAGAAGAAAGACGAAGAAAAAGCCAGAGAGGCCGAAAAAGCCAAGAAGAAAGAGGAGGAAAAGGCCAAAAAGAAAGAGGAGGAGAAAGCGAAGGAGGAGAAGACAAAGAAGAGAGAGGAGGAGAAGGCGAAGGAGGAGAAGGCAAAGAAGAAAGACGAGGAGAAACCAAAGGAGGATTTGAAAAAGAAAGAAGAGGAGAAGGTGAAAGAAGAGGCAAAGAATAAAGAGGAGGACAAGGAGAAAGAGGAGGAGAAGCCAAAGAAGGAAGAGGAAAAAGGGAAGAAAAAAGAGAAGGGGAAGAACAAAGGGAAGAAGGAGGCGAAAGGAGCAAGCGAGGAGCAGGTGAAAGCTCCGATTGCTGCTCCAGAGCCGGAGCTCAAAACTGAGCCGGACATCGAGCAGGCTCCTGATCAGCACTCGATCAGCAGCGGAGAGACGCAGGTGAGTGAATATTACTTTAGGAAATATGATATAAATGTCACTTTTCTGCGCACATGAAAAATGGACCTAATCCATACTGCAGATTTAACTGTAGCAGACAACTGCATGTTTTCGTCCTCCTGTTGAATTTTTAATAATGGCGACAGCTTGCTCAGCGAAAGTAACTGGGTTGTGCTGAATGCCTGTTCAAAAATGATCCATGCTGCTGAGAACTAGAGCATCAACAGCAGCAGTATGTTTGCTGTTTACTCAAGATCTGTAGTTGTTTTAATTATAGTTCTGTCATTGTTTCCAAAAAAGAAAAAAACTGAACATCATGTTCTCCCGCATTCTTTTGATCTGTCTTCGACATACTTTTGCAAAGTGTCTTGTGTTGACTCTCATCAGCCAGCTCAGGAGGAACACAAGGAAAAAGCAGCAACAAAGAAGGAGCCTGAAGCGGTGGAAGAAGTGAAGGAAGAGGACGCGGAAAAGAAGGAGGAGGAACCAGCGGAACAGGAGAAAGAAGTTAAAAAAGGCGAGGAAAAGGCAACAGAAGCGAAGAAGGAGAAGCCTGCAAAAGAGAAGAAAACAGAGAAGAAGACTGAAGAAGCTAAAGGCCCCAAACGTCAGAAAACCATGCAATGCAAAGTCACCTTACTGGACGACACTCAGTTTGAGTGTGAGCTTGATGTAAGAGGCCTCCCAAACTTGTTTCCATGTGTCTCTCTGTGTCATATGTCTCTTCAGCTAAACACCTGTCTTCCACTGTGTCTCTGTTTATCATTTAGAAACATGCTAAAGGCCAGGAACTTTTGACAAAAGTGTACGACCATGTCAACCTGCTGGAGAAAGATTACTTTGGCCTGGGACACTGGGAAACTCCAACCAACAAGGTATCCTGTTTATTTTTCTCCTCCTGTAGTTTTAGGTTGCACTGCAAAAGAGGAGCGAGATATTTAAAATGTCAGCTGACAAATTAACATGGACACTGATATTAACCTTATTAAGACACTGCCATTTAAACAGCATTTTCTGATAAACTTAACCCGAATAAAGTTGTAAACTCAGAATAAGCATTAACAAAATTCAGGCAGTGGAGAAACTGTAAGTGTGCCATGTGTCGGACATGGTGTGAGTCATTGTCATCAATGCTCTGTAACATGTAAACGGAAATATGAATGTAATATTCTATAAGCAACTCATAAACATCATATTCATAGTAATTGTGTATTCATGTGAACATAGTCACTGATAATAAACTGGTTGTGAGCAGATGGTTAATTTTTTTCCCTTTATTTTCTGCAGACATGGCTGGAACCCGCAAAAGAGATCAGGAAGCAGGTTTCAGGTGCTGTCTATGAGTTTACATTCAACGTGAAGTTCTACCCTCCTGATCCAGCACAGCTTACTGAAGACCTCACCAGGTGAGTGTTTCGAGTGATAAGAGAATAATTTTGGAAAATCTTTTGATTCCCTGTCTTGCTGATGCTGGCGTTGCATATATGTGTTGAGGCTTCAACCGAAATGCTGCTCATCCATTGCAGAACTGCATCGTGGCTCCATTGCATCACACTGCTTTCACAGTAGAAGTGGAGCAGTGGTTAAGGAAATGTTATTAATATCTCGTAAAGCAATCTTATTTGTTCTCTCACGTCTTCTCCAGGTATTTTCTATGTCTCCAGCTGAGGAAGGACATCATGCGCGGAGTTCTTCCCTGCTCTTTTGTCACACTGTCCTTGCTTGGCTCCTACGCGGCCCAGTCAGAGCTCGGGGAGTATGACCCAGAGCTTCATGGAGCAGACTATGTTAAAGATCTGAGTCTGGCCCCTGGACAGAGCAAAGAGTTGGAGGAAAAAGTGATGGAGCTGCACCGCACATACAGGTAATCAACGAGTATGGTCTTTGTACAGAGCAGCAATGGCAGTCTTCTGTTAATTTAACCAATACGTTTCATCAAGTACAATTCAACAGAGAGCAACTCTGCAGCGCTTCTTCATTGTCAGTGTTTAATGATCCCAACAACAAGGTTTATCTTTTAAAAGACTCTTCTCATCTGTATGCTTCCAGGTCAATGAGCCCTGCCCAGGCAGACATGTTGTTTCTTGAAAATGCCAAGAAACTCGCCATGTATGGAGTTGACCTGCACCAAGCCAAGGTAAAGTGTTTTCTTGTATTTACTGCCTAGATTAATACTTGTTGTGGGGTTTTATGGGAATGCCAAAGCCATTATTTTGTAGTAGCGTGCTTGTATTACATCAGAAGCATCTGGATTTTAATTACAAAATTGACGTTAGTCCCCTCGCAGAAAAAAAGCAGAGATTAATAACGTTTCAAACTCACTGACCTCAAACTACATGCCCTCACCATGTGAGAAACTCTGCCCCCTGGTGACTGTTTACTAGAAGTGCTGAACAGTTTCCACCTGTTTTTGTGAATGCAGGATCTGGACGGTGTCGACATTACACTGGGGGTTTGCTCCAGTGGTCTGATGGTTTACAAGGACAAGCTGAGGATCAACCGTTTCCCTTGGCCCAAAGTGCTGAAGATCTCTTATAAACGCAGCAGCTTCTTTATCAAGATCCGGCCGTCAGAGGTAAATCTGAATTCAATTTAGTTTTTTTCCCTCATCCTAACTACAGCTCCACTCCACCAACATCCCACCTTGGAATGGTGTGAGAAATGTACTCCTACTAATTATCTTAAATTCATTTATAGATGGAGTAATCCCATTTTATATGCTAATGTTGAATTTATAGTGTTGGATTATTATCCCATTATTGTATTTCACATTATTCTGAACTATTTTAGAACTGTTGTGTGCCTGTTTTTGAATAAACAAATTGGTTTAACTTAAATTAACAACTGGGTTAATCAATTTGAATATGGAATTGATTCAAATAAAAGTTAATAGATTTCAATAATTGATACAAGACAATTCTGTAAATTAGCCTCTTAATATATGGTGTTTTATTTATTCAATTTTTTAAAATGTTTTAATATTTTGATGTCGAGACTTTCAGAATTGACATGATCCATTGTTTGTTCTTTTAAATCCGGCTCTTGGATAAATGTTTCATTATGCAGATTATTACTTGAACATATAAATTATATGCAACTCTGACTTTATTTGTTTCTTCACCTTCACAGCAGGAGCAGTACGAAAGCACAATCGGTTTTAAACTGCCCAACTACAAAGCCTCAAAGAAGCTGTGGAAAGTCTGTGTTGAAAACCACACGTTCTTCAGGTTAGAGCTGGTCACTCTCACCTTGTTCTGAATGACATTTCCCTGCCTGGTAACAGAGGTCAATTGCAGGTTCTGCCTATCCTTAGATAATTGGCTCACTGGTCTCTAGCTTAATCCCTATATTGGCTCGATGGCAGTTCATCCACAGATGAAAAGCCACATACACATGGTCCTAACCTTGGAATAAAAGCTCCAAAGGTTTTCTCTGAATGAGATAAAGGGTCAAATTTGTTGCATAACAATATCTATATATATATTTATTATTATTATTATTTTTTTTTTTGAACCCCTTGTTTTTAGCTTTGCTAAATTGATGAAAGTGTTGGGTGGATGATATTAAATGAGTGTATCTGTCCCTCAGGGTTTCAACAGTGGAGCCTCCCTCATCACGTCGCTTCCTCGTCTTAGGCTCAAAGTTCCGGTACAGCGGGCGCACACAGGCCCAGACCCGCCAGGCGAGCTCCATGATCGACCGCCCAGCCCCTCGCTTCACACGCTCGGCGAGCAAGAGGCTGTCGCGTAACCTAGATGGAGGTAAGTGTCTGAACGAGTTTCGCTATCACTGTACCGCACATGTATCTCGAATTTAAAAGCTGCTCTCTGACTTGTCTCGCTCCTGCAGCTGGAGATGACACTCTCCAGTTTCTCTCAGCGTCATCCATGTCTGAGAATGATGATTTGTGGTTGATGCTGGGGTCCGACAAACCTCAGCCTCCTCCTGAGTTCCCAGGTACAAGAAACTGTGTGGGAGTCCGCCAACGCTTTTTGGCATAGATGCAGCATTTATTTTCCTCTTGCGCACTAAAAGCCTCATCGCATCATTTAACATGCCCATCCTTTCTGGATCATTTGCTTTCATGCTCGTTAACATTTGAAGACATTGTCATTCAGCTTTGGCACGGATGCTTCATTGTCAGGTAGGTGACCTATTCTGACATGCGGATGGTGACGCCCACCTTGGACTTTCCTTGTCATGATCCTGCCCCATTGCCTTGGTCACTGAGTGATCTATGAAAGAAAGAACAAGGAACTTCACATGCTCAGCTGCACAACGGCATTTCCAGTCTTGAGGCTACTCTTCCTCTTTTTTGCATTTTAAGAAGTTACTGCTTGATGTGTGTTGCACAACAACAAATTTAATTTGCTCACTCACTCATTACTTCTCCAGTTGCTGCCATGAAAACTAGAACTTTAACCACTCAAAGAATGAGAGGCATCGTTCTTTAAGCGTTGTACTAACCTTCAACAGTTGTCCGGTACAAATGCTTGGCATCTGCCTTGGTCTCTCCAGCAAAACATTACATAACTACAGTGACCTTGTCATATCTTTGCAGCCAGAGGAGAGTATAATCAGACCTTCATTCAGTCCGGGGAGGAGGAGTGGTCACAGGCGGTCACAGTGACCTGGCAGGACACTGGTCAGACTGGTTCTCAAACCATCAGCCAGACAGTGGAAGGCCAGGGGTCTACCTTTCTGCATCACCATCCTCCATTTCCCATTGTCCCACCTTTTGATTTTGTGAAACAGCCAGGTATCGTCACTTGTAATTTAACAGTTTGGCATCAGGAACTCTAACCTTGCAATACCTAAGATACATCTGCCATATGTGTGTGTGTGTGCTACATTCACCCCCAAGGCTTTCATTGAATCCACACAGGTGGAGCAGGTCTGCTTATGCTGTTTGAGAATTGATTTGGTTTTTCTCATCTATGGAAGTGCTGAGTATTTTGTGTCTGATTTTATCAGCTAAGCTCAGCTTGACAAACATGAGCTATGTGGACAAGCTCTTGCGTCCTGCACTGAGAGAACAAGATGATTGGTTCCTGTATTTTGACCGAATCTCCCGCCTGTCTTCACTTGTTGAAAAACCATGTGAGTTTCTTGGTGTGACTCTTGTGTGGACACGTGACCTGCAAACATTAATGGATTTTGAATGCAATTTGTGAAATATGTGATCAGTCTGCATGACAAAATCTTTGATACATGGTTCATAATTTTACTTTCACCTTTGCTCCTCCCAGTCTCTCCCCACGCACAGTTGCAGGTCCAGGATAACGACGAGCAGGAGCTGACCAATGAGAAGGTCATTGAGAGGCTTCAGGAAACGGTGACCTTGGTGGAGAAGCTGATAGAGGCAAATGCTTTGGAAAGGAAGCTAAGGGAAGTGAGGGATTTGGAGGAAAGGCTCCAAGAAGTGGATGAGATGGCAGAGAAACTTCAAGAAGTGATAGAGCAAGAATTAGGGACGGAGGAGGTAGAAAAGTTAAAAGAGGAGGAGGAGGGTGATGTAGAGAAGATAACAGAAAGAGTGGTGAAGAAATCTGTGAGAATGATAGAGGCAGAGGAGGAGGAAGTGGATGAACTGGAAGAGCAAATCAAGCAGGTGTTTTTAAAAGGTTTGTTGCCTGAAGAGGAAGCGTCCGAGGTGAAGCAGGAAGCTGAAAAAGAGGTTATTGATGTGAGTCTGTTAGACGACAGCTTGAGGGAGAAGCTAAGTCGGATAGAAAAGGAATGGCAAGAAGATGTGAAGGAGAGGTTTGGCCCTGAAGATGTGCTCAGCACCACATCTGTAGTGGCCCAACAGAAGGTGGTGCGTAGGACTAAGAAGAAAGTGACTATTGTAGATGAGAGAGATCAAAAACAGAAAGATGAAGAAGACGTAGAGGTTCAGACTATGGTAATAGAGGAGAAGGTAGAAAAACAGATGTGGCTTAAGACAGATGTGCTGGAGGAGAGGATGGAGAGAGAGGTTACTGAGAGGCCTCAGACTGAGATGGAAGATAAAGATGTCTGGTTAATTCACTTTGACCGTCCTGCATATAAACCAGGTACAGTTTTTTATTGTACAAACAGCTTTAGATCTCTACTAATCTCTAATATTAGAAAGCTTCCCCTTTTGCTCTGGTGTGCCGTTTACATTTAACAGTCTAATCTGAAGTTAGAGGAGAAGTGAACAGGCTGGTAACCAGCTCGTTTTAGATGCTCTTCCCTTTTGCGTTTAAAAAAAAAAAAGTGAAAGTTTTTTTTGAAGAGTAAAGTTCTACATATGTAGGACTTACTGTAGTGGAAGTGATGACAGTTAAGCTGATCTGATATAAATGTCCTGTTGGTGCAAAGGGGGGTGGGGACACTGAGAATATCACTGACCCAGGTTTTTCAATGTCAAAAACAACAAACTAAAAGTAACTCAGAAAGTAAATACTCCGATTAGGCTAAAGCCTTATCTGGTCATGACAGTGAAACTAATCCTGGATCTGTCTGTTTATCTCGATCCGCTTCTTCCTTTCATCTTGCTTTAATGTAAATGCTTTTTGCGTAATCTTGCATAAAAACAAACATTTAAGAAAACATCACCTCCTTTTAACCTTTTAACCAACTTTATTGTTTCTTTTCTTTGAATACATTAAATTAAACATGAAATATGTTTGCTACCATGTTCAAATATTGTGTATTTTTACTCTTATTAGTTGTCGCTGTGGAACACGCCCAAGTAGAAAAAGGCGAGTATTTCATCTCAAAGCCTGAGATTACAGCAGTTGAAGAGAAAACAGAGATAAAAATAGAAGAGAGAATAATACGAGAAGAGCAGGGATGGAGTGCACCAGAGATCCCACCACCACAGACCATCACAGACAGAGAGGATGACTGGTTTGTGTTGTTGGATGTGATTCCCAGAGAAACTCCTTACGTACCTCCAGGTACTCTCGAAAATCCACTTATGACTTATGCTATGTTTTGTATTGTGCTTGAGCCACTTGTGCTAAATTGGTTTCTTTTGAAATATCAGTCATCATCAAGGAGCGAGACCAGATGGAGGCTGAAAGTATCGTCTCTGTGGTTGGAACTGCAGCTGATGAGATTAGAGAAGTAGTCGTTGAAGAGAGAAAAATAAAAGAGGGGGCTCCGAGACGTCTACAAGAAATCGCACATGTGCTAGATGAGATTACCGGAGAAACTCCTTATGTAACACCAGGTGCTGCTAAAATCCACTTACACCTTATATCATCCTTTTTACTGTGCTCGCCACTTGTGTTTAACTGTTTCTTTTAAAATATCAGTTATCTTGAAGGAGCAAGACCAGATGGAGGCAGAGAGTTTTGTCTCTGTGGTTGGAACTGCAGCAGATGAGGTGATTAAAGTTGCGGTTGTTGAAGAGAGAAGGATAATAGAAGGGGCACCGAGACGTCTACAAGCAATTGCACAGCAGCCGGTGACAGACAGAGACGATGACTGGTTTGTGTTGCTGGATGTTGTTCCTAGAGAGACGTCATATGTTCCSCCAGGTACCGCTAAAAATCACCCGCAAATGCTTGGCAGCTTTATCAAAGTAAAGAACTACCCTGAGCTTTGCAGATGCTGTTACTCCTTAATAAGAGCTTCTGTCTGTGGTGTCTGAGGGTTTGTATCTCCTTTGTCATAGTTGCTGTTGTGCAGCATGTTGAAGTGTCACCAGAAGAAACTGTCTCTCTGGT